GGGTGGGGGGAGAAGGAAAAGAGGTGAAGGGACAAGAAACTAAATGGAATGTGTTTCATGGGGAGAGTTGCCAGCTGCTAGTGGCAAATTCACCTGGTTTGCAAAGAAAACAAGATGGGTAACGATACCATAAGGAAGTCCAGAAACTGAGGAACAAATGCAGGGCTGGGAGGGCTATCCCCCTGCTCTGAGCTGTAAGCAGAGGACTACAGGTTTTAGAAGGAAAAGGCTTCTACATAGCAAGATTTTTCTTGCACTTGTATCCTTTAAGTTGAAAAAAAATACCAAAAGCAAAAAAACTCCCCAAAAAACCTTTACAAAAACACATTTGTATCTGATATACCTAAAGCAGATACAGGGTTTAATCACATCCGAGAAACAAGTACGCAAGTGATTTTTACTGAGCATTATCAGGCTTACCTACGCTACATTTCTGCAGTAGTAAGTTCACTAGGGAGGCTGATTGCACAGTGACTCTTTGCCATGCTGTGTTCATCTGCCAGCATCTGCAGCTCCGCACCTCAGCCTACTGCTAACCAGGAGATTGCACTGTATCTAGTCTCATCTCAAGGTACCCAATCCCTGCAGGGTCTGATCAATGTTTCATCAGGGAAATGCTTGTTTTACCAGGGCTTGGCTATTTCTTACATCAGAGCGATGAAGAAACAGCAACACTGTGGGGAAATGAGTCCTGTTTCTGCTCTACCAGAAATCATGGGTTTGAAAGGGGAAAATAAACAGCTGACCGCTGTGAACAACTGTTCTCTCCTAGCCATCGTACAAAACAAGCTGAGGAAGGGCAGGAGGAGTACAGCTGCACACAGCCAAACCCTGGCACTCTACAATGAGTTTATTATAACAATATTAGACTAAACACTATTTAAACAGCTACATAACAATTTTTTAAACTAAGGATTTTAGTGACATTCACACCAAGTTTAGAAATTAATGTATAAGTGACAGGGTTTTTTTGTCATTCTTTGACAAGTTACTTTTGGATAGAAAGTTACTTTAATCAAAGAGAGACAAGAAAGCACCTAGAGATGGGTATAAATGCACCGACACATTAGAAGTTTACAAACAATTCTTCTCCCGGTTTTAATTTAAAGTGGAGAAATAAAACAGAGCAAGGTGATGCACTGAACATATTTTTTGTCACTGTGTTTTTCAAGGGAGGTATGAATCTCAGCCTTCCATATCCATGTCTTAGTAGATGAGGCAAAACAAGTTTCCCCACTTTTTCTATTCCCAGTTGATTTCGCAATTTTGAATAAACAAAAGAACTTCTTTACTTGTGTAAGAAGCTACAACAGCCTGCCAGGTGTCTACAGATGAAGGCTTCCTGCGCTTTAGCGTTTGATTTTAAGTAGAAGTTACCATGCTTAAAAAATTTAATTATTTCAGTAACTCAAAACAGACAGGACATAAAATCTAACCAAACTGACTGCATTTTAAAATACCCTTTATGACACTATTTAATAGATCAATTCTTGCGTTTTTTGGATTGTAACCCCTTGCCCCTCTGTATTAGATCTGACAAATAAGTTTGGCTCTTCCACAAGCCTTCACCTATGTAAGGGGAGTTACCACTGATGTCCTAGGGTCATTTTGTCCTCACTCTTACAAGTATTTGCTTCCAGAAAATTGGTAACAGGCCTGGAAGGGACTGTGGAGCATCAGCTGCTACTAGAGTCTGAACTCCACTGAATGCAGCACCAACAGCATGCCAAATGGCATGAAGCACAGCCAGAGCCGACTGGAAGCTGTAGCATCTCCTGTGTTCTTACTGCCACCTTACTGTCCAGCCTAGGAGAGAAAAAAAATCCCTGAACTGGACAAGGAAAGGCTGCCAAGTCCTGGTAGGAGTGCCCTCCTCTCAGCTCCAGTGATGATCACCTATAAAAATGCTGCTCCTGAGGATGCCTGTCTAATGCATTCTTAAAAATTCCGACACTAGTCATCCAGTCGACTGTCTGCATCACTCCAACACATCTTCTGAAGTCAGCAATTATCTATTACATCTTGTAAGGCAGACCTTTCTTAAGACCACCTCATTTGCTTCTACGGCATCTTCTTATCCCCTTCGCCCGAAAAACTATTATCTATAAAGACTTAAAAACCTGAGGGTTTTATCTAATGATTAGTATTCAGTCTCCACATAGGGAGCTGGAAGTACACCTGTGTCAGAATTCACAAAAATGAATTAAAGGTAAGATCATATAGAAAGACAATGTAACCCACTCACTGCAGATAGTTTAGACATTGCAATACAGCAGTAAAGACAAACATCAAAATTCAACGTTCAGCAGCAGAACAGACTTCTCAGCCAAGGATATACTTTGTCTCATTCAAATGACAGCACCTATGCAAGAAATCTATGTAAGGTTTGGATATTTTTTTTAGTATTTTTTTGTTTTTTTTTAACACTGAGCAGACAGAGGAGCAACCTCATCCAGACAGTCAGCTTTCACTAGAACAAACAGGTTAGAAAGCTTTCCAACCAACAGACAATTAAGTGCTATTTTTGGAGCCTGTAGTAGCAGGATGAGTTGTATTCTTGCTATCCATCCAACAGGGGAGCAATAACAATTACATCTTTGTGTCAAAAGTAATCCTTAATATACGAAACTAAAAAGCCAGCCACTTCTGTATTGGTTCATACAGGACTGGAAGGAACCGCAGTGGTTTGGGGAGACAAGTATATTGCGCTGCAGTACTCCATTAGCGTCACAACAGCCTCTGCAACAACAGGACATTCTCAGCTCATCTCCTTACCCTTTTAATTCGTCAGCTAAGCACATGCCAAACTGCTTGGTACCAGTTTCCATGCATCTTCTTATCATTAGACGATAACGAGGTTCAAAGACATGGAGAGGACAAGGGATGGTAGGGAAGGCCATGGTACATACGAAGATGGGAACATCTTTATTCAAACTGTAAGATAATCGTTAAAAAAAATTAGCTTTTTTCTGGGTACTGTTATATTCAGCCTAAACTCTTAACACGACACTGAGTCCAGCGGTTTCTTTAGACTCATGCTCTGTACATGTCTATCTGGTTGAAGTTTGTCATTTTTACAAGACAAACATGTTTCAGGACTCTTTCTGTTAGCACATTAAAGAAACAATCCCTCTGATCTACTTTCACAGAGAAAGAGTCAGGAAATAACAGCCAATTTCCCAAATGTGTGTGTACCAATATTTAAATCCAAGTAGTAAGATTTTGGTGATAACTTTTTATAATAATATAGTACCTAAGAATTAACCACGTTCAAAGCAAGGCGGTAGACAATTCCCAAGCTCAGTAAAGCCCTTTAATTTTGAAGAAGCCCACTAATCCTTATATTATTTTTTCAGGCTTAACTGCATGGTTTATTTTTCTTTTTAGCTAAGTCGTAGCATAAGATCCACAAGCCCCTGACAATGCTGAACCCTTGAACTTCTCCTGACCTGAAATATAACTCATTTATAATCGGACTTCTACTCCCAGAAAACCCCCATTACAACTTTTAAAGCTATTATATTGTTTCAGAGCAAAACACAATTATCTTTATGTTAAGAATATATTTGTGCCTCTCTACCATCCAAGCATATTGTTTCTTGTTTATCTGCAACAAACATGTCAAAAATACAAAACATCTGGCAGGTTCATTTACAAATACATTCATTTTATGCGTTTTCATAAGCAAATTAAACTTCTTCAAGTAATTTAGATTAAAAATACATTTTTGTAACAGCTGTCAGTAGTAAAATGAAAGCCTACTTTGACAATTCCTTCATTTCTTCCTCATAAACTTTCTTCCTTTCAGATAGTTCCTCTGGCAAGTAACGGACTATCAGTTCTTCTGTAAGGACGGTCTTCTTGTACGTTCTGCTTGCCAGAAACTGCAAGGAAGAGTCAACTCATCAGTCTGATGAGAAGTCAGCTAATATCCCCAACCCATCCCCTTTCCTAAGGCAAAAGAGGCTGTTAGTTTGGGATTCCTCCTCCTTTCCAGCTTTCAGGTATCAAAACTTCCACTTTAGGATAGGACATTCCCTCCAGTGCCCGTTTAACTATAACCCTGTGCCCTTTTTTGGGCAGAAGTTGTACTACCATCAAGAAAAGGCAGTCCCTCCTCACTTTTGCAGAAGATATGTATATTATTTTCGCCTAGAGCTGCCAGGTTACTGGTCCCCAAGATGTACTCCACGTACGAGACACGTTAATGTCTGCTGGAGCAGAAGTTCTGGCCAAGGAGCGACCATTCCTCGTTCACCGCAGATAGAGATACAGACTGGAGAGGTGGCAGGAACAGGGCGATGGTTGGGACTCCCCAGGCATGAGCCTGACATGACACTGGAATCCTCAATTCCTTTCAGCACCAGCAAACCACGCGTGTCTTCCAAGGAATGACAAAATATACTCTGGAGCAAATGAGGTCTGTGCACAGCTTGATGCTGTGGGCACTACTGTGTTTTTCTGGGTTGCGAGTAGAGCACAGAAAATCCCCACATATGTGCTTTCAAAAGAACACGGCTTTGTATTTTTTTGTTAATTACAGCAGGGACATACTTACTTCTGACAGCTTTTCTTTGCAGAGTGGGCAATGCGGATTATGGTCAAGGCAACGCTCAAGGCATTTGAGGCAAAAGGTGTGTCCACAGGGAGTGGTAACAGGTTCGTAGAACAATCTGAACATGAAAACACAGAACAAAAAAGCTAAGCTGCCAACATAAGCAATGCAGATTCCGAAACTGTGGACAGGAGTGACAAGATCCAGCCACCTCTTCCTTTCCAGCTTTTGTGTAAATCACAGGTGACAGTTTTATCTAAGGATATGAAAAAGGTTTTCATTTTCAGAAGTGGTAACAATGGAGGAAACCATGCAGAATGGAGAAAACCACATCTGTAAAGATTAACCAGATGCAAAGTTCAGAAAAGAAGAACAGAGTAATGACTTAGACATTCTCTGGCAGGTTTCCTTTCTGACACCATGAAAACTTTATTCAGGAGCTACAAAGGCTTTATGGTCCTAATCCCAGGTTAATGCAGTCGTACCTCATGCAGAGGGAACACTCAAAGTCCGATGCATCCACCAGAGTTGTTGGGATTTCACCTGAAGTGATGGCAGTGTTTTCAGGTAAAACATCTGCATCTAAGTAGGTAAGAAGATTACAGTAAATATTTAAGTATTATTGCAATTTCAGATGCTGTTTAAGTTGTTTTTCCATAAAGAACCTAATTAATCTCTTTTCTTTTTTGAAGTTTTGCTCCAAACATATTTTCCATCTAAGTTTTAGACTTTCTGGCAGGAAATCTTTTGGAGAGCAGAGGATGATGTTTGTGGCCAGAGAAAGCACTTTAGAGCTGAATACCCATGATTTGCTTCTCCCAAAATGGTTGTTTTTCTTTTCTTTTTTTTTTCAGTCTAGTTTTTAAAATACTCTGCTATTGCTTTCCCACCACCACCCCCCCTCCCACATCAGCCAGGCCAGATGTTTTAAAGTACATTAAGTCCAGAATTTAATTTGTTTACACACAGTCAAACTATTTCATCAGTGTTTATTATAGATTTCTCAGCAGGGGTGATTTTTCTTACAAGTATAAAAAAGCTTACGTCCTAGACCAGGCTGCTGTGGAAATCCCATGGTTCAGACAGCTTAAAGTTTAAGGACTACTGGAGCTGCATTAGCTAATACTGTTTTCACTAGCTCAGCACTCTGCAAACATGGAGACAAAACACTTCACTTAAAATTCTGCCCACCCTGCTTTTTTTGGGGGTGGTACATATCCCTGTAGTTAACACACTGAAAGGGTATGGGCTTCAAACTTCACAGCAGCAGCATTGAAGCTCAAGAGCTACCAGCTCGCGCTTCTGGTGACATTTATATGAGCAGACTCTGCAACTTCTTTTACAATCTGCATCTTTGTTGCTCAGTGATGAGTTGCAACAGAGCCACGAATGCTGCCTCCACATCTTAAATTCTTGACCGTTTGGGGGGGGGGAAGCTCAGCTTTTTATGTTAAGTTAAAACACTAGGATGTTTTGTTAAAGGATAACTTATGCTCAACATCTGGTTTATCTTGAGCACAGACAGGATAGGGGAGAGGGCACCGGTGTTGTGTGGCCTACAAAGCAAAACAGCGTTATCTTTAACCTACATCTCGCATGTTAGCATTTAGTAAGAGCCAGAACCTAACTGCGTTAATTCTGCAAATAGTAACGTGGCATCAGGATCTAGCACAGACCAGAAATTAATGGTTATGGGTAAAATGCGATCTCTGGCCTTCGCTGTGAAGATACAGGTGGGTCAGATTTCACAATCTGTTTACTGAGTCTGCAGTTTACAGACCAGTACAGAGTTTTTCCCTTCGCAGCAACGTGATCAGAAACTGGCCATACATTGATCATTTGCAGAGGTGGCAGACAGACAGCAGTACTTGAAGACTTTAATATTTCAATGTAGACGTCAGATTTGTTAAGAAGGTATTGTTGGATTTTTTTTTCTTTTAAGGCAAAAAAATGCATGCTAATATAGCAGCATTTTAAAAGCCCCTTTTAACCAATTATTTCACTACTCAGTGCAATATATTGCCTTCAGCATTTTTATCCCAGAGTACTAAAAACACTTTGGAGGTCTTTGTTAGAAGCTTGAGAAGCATACCAATTGTAAGCACAGCTATCAAGTGACAGAAAACTGGGGGGGGCTTATTACCCTGCAAAAGGCTTCTTTGTTTGCTTGGAAAATTTCATGTAAAGTTGCGTGTGACTGTTTCTGGTGCCAATTCAAGATTAGTTTCCAGGCTTACTGCATCTTTCCTTCATATAGAAGGACAATGAAGTTCAGCTATACCTCTGAGACCTAGAAAATGGAAACAGCACCAGCAACACAAAGACTAAACTGTTAGTGGATTACACACTGGAAACAGCCCATTTGAGAAAGAGAAATACAGTGTTCATTGAATTAATTGAAACTGCTCTGGAATAAGGTAAATAGGCTGCTATAGCAGAAACAGACACACCAGACAACAAAATGTAATTCCAGTCCCTGTAGGGAATGTTTCATTGACAACTATAAGAAGGGAGGAGGAAAAAAGTAGTTTATCATTTTTACGTATGTGCAAAAGAAATCCCCTTTCTAAGCCACAACACAAACCTTTTTTAGGAATCTTACTGGGGACATCCAAGCTTTGCAAGTCCCTCATATCACTGGACAGCTTTCTTTTTAAGCCAACCCCAGGTAAACTGGAGAGAATAGCTCCCAAAGACTTCTTGTTGTCTTCAAAATAGAGATCCAGAACATGATGGGAAACAGAAGAATCAGTACTTCTAAATACATCAGATTCTTGGGACGGGGTTTTTGTTAACCTGAACACAGTATCCTAAAAAAAATTAAGAACAGTTATATACAGCATGAGACAATTTTGCTTTTTTTTTTCCTATTAGCTGTATACATCAGCAACAGATCAATGTCCCTACAATGATCTTAGCAAGGGAGAAAAGTCCGTATTAAAGAAGGCCACTCTCCAGTTGCACAAAATAGGGACACTCCTCTTCCTACAGCTCCCATCTCTAGAAATTATGTTCCAGAGTGCATAAAAAGCACAGAGGGAGAAAAAGACCCCACAAATATAAGCACCCCACACATGAAGGCACCACATTGTTTTCTGAAAAAAAAATTTCATTCTCTTATTTTTCTGAGGAAGTACATCCCAGCAAGAGTTCCAACAGCAATGGAGAAAACAGGCTTACCATGAAAGTAAGTGCAGACAAAGACAATGTCACACAGATCAGACAGATCCTTGTGTCACTTTTGGTATTTTTATGTTGAATGCTTTTTACTTTACCTTTGAGGACCCAGCAATAGAGCTATCTTCTGCAGCTGACTGTGTGTTTATGCTACTCAGAAATGCAGGTTTCAACCTCGTATGGGATGTTCGACTAGAGAAAGGTGCTGTTAGACTATCATGAACATTTTCAAAGGCTGGGAAAAACATCTCACACATTATCTAGTTAATTAGAGAGAAAAAAAAAGAAAAAATAATAGTAATTACGACACAGATATTTATGCCTGTATGAACACAAACTTCACAGCTTCTGGATGCCAAGAAGCTTACAACAACCAGGACATCCTAGGACATCCTGCATTCCCCAATGCCCACAAGGAAACTTGAATGGCAGTCCCCACCACAACCACAGACACATCCCAAGGTGCTCTTCTGGTGTCCCTCTCCCTCCCCGTAGGCCTCTGCTCCTCAGGAGCACCCAGGGTGGCAGTCTGTTGCATCCTCCTGCCTCCATCCCTCTCTACTTGGACCTCTGCCTCCAGACCATGCTGTCTTATCACAACCAGTTAACAGAGATGTGTTTCAGTTCTCCTCATCCTCTGTATCCATCTCCTCTATCCTCAAGCAGGTTTCACTTCTAGCTAAAAGCTGTGTAGCGCCTGTTCCTGCTCTCACCAGTCCCCACCAAGCCCCTTGCTGAACCCCCATTTCTTTTTATAAAAACCTGCCTTGTTTTTATAAAGGGGCAGACTGCAGGGCTTTGCCAGGACAGGGCAGCATACAGCTCCACCTCCTCAACCCTCTGCCACTTCCCACTTAAAAGCGGTTTTCTGATAGGCATTACAATTGGCAGCCTCGAGCCTACAAAATCCAGGTGTACTCAAATCCAGCCAACACACTGCAACTGTAATCTAAAAATGGCAGCGGTCAGATCTACAGATTTGCAGTGGAATCCACAAATATACAATCCCTCTGGTTGAGGCATAAACCAAACCCAAGAGGCGCCTCACACAACATAATGCTACTAAGGTTTACTGGAGAATATACTGAATCAAATTATCCTTTGGCTGTTTACTAGCATGTGAAATAACAAGAATTTTACTTAGCTGCAGGAGTAAGAGCAGCGTGATGGCCAAGTGGCCAGTAAATACATTTTATACCTTTTGGGCTTCTTTCTTCATTGAGCTCCATTCAGGATTTAAGGCAACACAATAGAGAAACTCCTTCAATGCTTCCTCAGTCCTTTCCAATCCAGAAAGAGCTTTTGCTTTCACATAATGGCCCTGTTCACACAAAGGAAATGTACAAATCTAGAGATCATTTCTGAAGTGGCAGCAAGAATCCAGCAAATAAACTTGGAAGTTCACGTCATTCTGCAAGTGAAGAATAAGATGCTTTTTGGGTAACAACCTCTTTGATCCACACAACTGAAGGAAAGTCAGTCCCTTTTGCTGAAAGAAGATTCCACTGCTGCATCACCCCCTGCCAAAGTCCTCAGGGGGGACCTGATGCATTTGAGGAGGGATATTTGTCTCCCCGGGGACCGAGACCACTACATATCCCAGAGGGCTCGATACCCCAGAGAATGGTTCACATACCAGGGCAAACTTAACAGTAATGAAGCTGCATGGGAAAGGCAGTGGCATGGGCAGGCTGGAGGTTGTAGCTGAGGGAGCAAAAGATTTTAGGTTCAGGACACTCTCACTTCTTCTGGGTGTCTTACCAGGACAGAGATGATTTTGCACCTATTTTATTTGGCTAGAGAAGACCAACAACGTTATGAATTTAAGGCAACTTAGCAATGCTTAACCTGAAACCTTTTAGCCCATCCTATCTCTCCCATGTCCTACAGTAACACATCCCTGGCCAACAGGTAGGGTAGTCAGCTTGGGGACAAGTCCTACTTTACCTGTTACTAGTAGAAAGAGAGGAATGCCTCACCTCTGAATTTCCCTGCGGACATCAATCTGCAGTTCACATCTGACTATGGAAATTACTTCCCTAATCATGAAAAGAAACTAAGTGTGCATTTAAACATTTGCTTCTTGCTTACTAGACAGAAGCGTGCTCTGCAAGTCCACCTCTGATCCACATGAGTATCTCTAGGCTGTGCTGAAAGTAAAATTTCACTAGTCTTAGGAGACTGGTTAGATAAGCAGATACACTTTTCCGTTCTTCATATGAATGTCAAAAGATCCAGTATCACATAACCTTCCCAAGCAGGTACCTCCCTCACTCTTTCAATATAGCTCTTCAAGCTGAGGCCCAGTAAGATCTTTACCTTTCCACTGTCAGGAAGAAGGGGGCTTGTACCATAAGCAAGTAACAGGCACTGTGTAGGACAGGTTAATTAACATAAGTCATTTGGTGACCTGAACAAGAAGTCTCAGTACACACCGATCTCTCAAGGTGAGATACATTTTTCTTTTCCTGAATGCAGTAAGAAGAGAGGTACTGTGAGGCCTGACCCTGACCTTCTTATCTTGATGCTTGCACAGCCTCTGTAAAACCTTTTTAGAAAGGTCCTAACACGCCTGACATCGTTGTCAAGACTACTCCGCTGCACTGGGGAGGCTACAAGGTTGTTTGGCCTCGTCCTTTGAGGCTGCAAGAGCAATTTCCTTACCCAAGCGTCAAGGGAGGACTGAGCTGGGCTGTCTACAGACAAAAAAACTGAAGATCCAACATCAGAAGTTAGGCCCAGGGACTAGAGGCTCCTACACTTCAGAGACTACCGCTGCCACCTTCCCTTCCCTATTTTCATATGGCACTGACAAGCATGGGACTGAAGGGTGAGGTCCAGACAGGACCTTGCGCAGCAGGCAAGATCCAGGCAAGAGGGCATCTGTTTCTGTCCGCCACATAAAAGTACAACTGGAAACTTCTCCCCACATCAGAGAGTCCAAGGACCTGGTTTTCATAGCAACTGAAAAGAAGCCAACCTGTCTATTGCTCTAATGACTACAGTGGACCCAAGAGCTTCACCAGTAACTCAGCAAGCCATTACATTTCAGTTATCAACAGGCCAAAAGGTACTGGTAGGTGAACGCTTGCCTCCAAGGAGCTACTCCTAGAATGAGTTTAGTTTTATGGTCAATTTTTTTTTTTTTTTTTTAACTACACAGACCATGTTTGAGCTAATCTCCGCCATGCGATGAAATGCCGCAAGATACAAAACAAAGCAGATGCCCAGAATTCCCAGAGAACGTGGATTCTGGATCAGCATAGCTTACGTGGAAGTTCTCACACACACGCAAGCACAAGTGAAATGCGTCTGTGATGCTGCTGGTTATGCCACGATGACAAATTTCCTTTTCAATTAGCATTCTGCAGAGATGTGATTAATGAAATCTTTATCTGCCTACAACTGACACGCGTCACATTTCCATGGATTCAAGGCAAACAGAGAAGACACTTCAAGAAAACATTCGAACGTGAGTAATTCATCTTTCTCCCTCTGCACAGAAACCCAGCCAACGCCACCCGAGATGGATTCCTGACTTGATGAGAAATGATCCTAGACAGAAAGGCAAATTGGAGGCGGGGGAAGATTATGAACTGCCTTCAAATAAGAAAGGTTTTAATGGGTGACAAGACAGATAGCCTTCAGAGACAAGTATCTAGTTTGTCAGAAACTAGACACTTCAGACAACACCTCTCCAGTCACCCCATGTCTTCCCCAGCCGGAAACAGAGAGCTACCTGCAGCCCCCTGTGCTGAGGCAGGTGGCTGAGGGGTTCATGCAACACCTCCTTAGTCTTTGCAGGGAATCCACGGTCTGCCTAAAATCCTTCCCCAATTCCCCATGCTACCCTCTCTCCAGGCAGCATTCAAGGGCTTTACCTAGTCAAACCTGTCCTGCAGTTTTGCTACTGATGGGTGAGGGACTGACTAGAGGTGTAATCCTCTGTGGGGTGAGCTGTTGGACACCCAGTCTAGTCTCACGCAACCGGTGGTAACAATGGGCACCACGTGCTTCTTCCATTTCTCTCTCGTAACGTAATTTCTAATGCTTGCTTCAGACTGCCCACAAACCAGTGCTCCTTGTGGCACCTCCTCGTTATGAAAAAAAACCATAAAATCCCAACTTCCGCTATAAATCACCATGACGCAGGTAGGAATCACAGATATGAACTCTTAGTATTAAAGGGGAGAAAAAAAAATCCTGAAATAGAGTCTAGGGTGCTCCTCAGAAAGACACATTAGCCAGCAGGCCATCAAAACCACCCACTACCTGGGACACACCATCCCACAGGGAACTGCAGGACAATCCCAGGCTGCCAGAGCCTTATGGACCTAATTCTGCTGCCAAGCTGCAGCACTAACCCCAACACATCAACAGGCACCAGCACAAACAAAACCACATCACCAGCTGCCCACCACTGAAATCCCACTGGCCTGAGATACGCTAAGGACCTTTCAAGACTTGTCCTGTGAAGAGCTTAGCTTTTGGTAGACATTCACAACCTTGATAATGCCACAATGTTCTTCCAACAATGCCCTCAGCAGTACTGTCCCCACCACAGAAAAAAGCCCCGAGAATGAGCAGTTTTCATTTTGGCCTTTACGACATGCAAGCACCGTACCGCAGGCCAGTGGGGTTTGTTTCGGCAGAGGACGTCGGCGTCGTGAAGAGCTTGCTGGTAGTTTTTCATTGACGTACAGAGTTCTGCTCGCTGTGCTATTAGTGAACACTTGCAAGGAGCTGGAAAACAAAAAAGGTTACAAGGAACTCCATTAAAAGAAGCACTAGTACATGTTAAATACAGTAACTTAATTTCCAGCCAGAGTAAACTAAAAAGCACTACTGTACAACGGTTACCTTTGTACTCTCCTGTAATGGAAAAATGGCAATTCCTTCCTTCTTTCCTTTCCAAAATATATTCCTCTCAGCCTGGAATCAACCTCTGCATATTATCTAGCATGACAGGTTTCATATTCACATATAGGATGTCACCTGCTCTTCCCCTCACCTTGCTTACAGGACACTTAAAAAAGCACGAAGACAAAAAGCCCCAAGTGTTTCTCCCCAATGTGGCTTTGCTTGAAAGAAATCACCAACGCAGGACTTCAGCTAAAATGTTCCTGTAGGCCACTCATTAAGAAAAAGGCATGTAGCCATCACATTTTGTATCTACTTGCCACCCATGTACCTTGCCCTCCTCAGGGCAGGCAAACCTCTCGTGATCACACACATTGCCTCTGTACCCACACATTCATGAACCGTCCCGTTTGTGTGGATTATGAACATCTCAAGCATTATTATTCCATCCTTTCCTAAGGTCTCTATAACACATTTTAAGACGGAAATCTAGATCCAACATAAAATTTCATAGAACCACAGAAAAACCGTGGCTGATCCATGTTCGGCTTGTCCACCAGGACCTCCAAGTCCTTCCTGCAGTGCTGCTGTCTAGCCCAGCCCATCCTGTTGCACGGGGTCATTCTGTCCCAGGCGCACTTGCCTTTGCTGAAGTAGGCAAGACTGGTCAGCCCATGCCCCAGGCTGTTAGGCTGAATGGCAGCCCTGCCCTCCAGCACATCAACCGCTGCTTCTTTCCCCAGTTTGGCATCACAGACAAACTTGCTGACAGTGCGCTCTGCCCACTCAGGGAGGTTGTTAATAAGGTCTTGAACTGCGTCAGCTCCATTACCAACACCTGAGCAACGCCACTGGTAGCCGTCCACCCAGCAGCCCTCAAGCCATTAACCACCACCCTGTGCTCATGAAGGTCCAGACAGTTCTTCACCCATCCCACCTCTACCTCCCCAGCCTGGCCAGGAGGATGCTGTGGCTAGCTGCAGCAGCAGCCTCACAAAAAATTGCTAAGCTCCAAACAACGCTCTCCCCTTTGTCCACCAAAGCAGTTATGTCATATCAAGAGATAAGATTTAGGTGTGATTTGCTCTTGTCCTTTGCATGCCAAAAAAGGTCTCTGGAGGGCTGGAAGCTGGCTGCCAGATGGTAGCAGCTAAGTGCAGTAACCCTTACCCAAACATAAACTGGTTAAAACTGTCATAACTGGGATTAAACTTTAAAAATGTTCCAAGGTGTGCTGAGACACAGTTCTGCCTCATTTCTACAAATTTTAAACTTCACCTCCAAGCTAGCTCTCTCAAGGCTTTTCTGGCAAGTGTGTCACGGTTTCAACTGGGACAGAGTTGACTTTCTTGATAGCAGCTGGTGTGGTGCCACGTTTTGGATTCGGGATGAGAATAGTGTTGGCAGCGCACTGGTGGTTTTGGTTGTTGCTGAGCAGTCAAGGCCTTTTCTGCTCCTCACCCCACCCCACCAGCGAGCAGGCTGGGGGTGCACAAGAAGTTGGGAAGGGACACAGCTGGGACAGCTGACCCCAACTGACCAAATGGATATTCCACACCATGTGATGTCATGATCAGTATATAAAGCTGGGAGAAGAAGAAGGAAGGGGGGGGACGTTGGGAGTGACGGTCTTTATCTTCCCAAGTAACCGTTAGGCATGATGGAGCCCTGCTTTCCTGGAGATGGCTGAACTGCCTGACCATGGGAAGTAGGGAATGAATTCCTTGGTTTGTTTTGCTTGTGTGTGTGGCTTTTGCTTTACCTATTAAACTGTCTTTATCTCAACCCACAAGTTTTTTCTCACTTTTACTCTTCCTGGAAGTGTTCAAGGTCAGGTTGGATAGGGCCTTAAGCAACATGGTCTAGTGGAAGGTGTCCCTGCCCATGGCAGGGGGATTGGAACTAGATGATATTTAAGGTCCCTTCCAACCTAAACCATTCTACGATTCTACGAATTCTCTCCCCCATCCAAACTTGGGGGAAATGAGCAAGCGGCTACGTGGTTCTAGCTGCTGGCTGGGGTTAAACCACGAAAAAGCGTCACCTCCTATATGCTCCTACGCAGGGCTCCTGTCTCCATACCTCTCCTGCTCCCTCCAGCCTGCTTCAGCTTCACTGTTCACACCTCGCTTTGGTGCGAGCATCCTCAACACATCTCAATAACAGCATATCGCCCATGCAAAGCCTGAGCACACACCCAAGCGTGTATGGACACACAGAATAAGCTCATAACTGCTGCAGGTGCCACTGCTCATTAAGTTCAAGCACCTACCAGGAGGGATGGCCCAAGATCATGTCTCCCTCCTGCCACCACTGCCTCCCTGCAGCTGACACCAGCGCTTGTGCAGCAAACCAGGTCCGCGTGGTTGCACAGAGAACCAGAGCAAGGAATCAATTGACTGAAAGCTAATCCAATAAAAACAAATAAATAAAAAGGTTTAAGAGGATCAGTTTCCCCTCAACTGGTTCACTGTACAGCCATGCAAACACCAGTGCCAGGACAAGGGATGAGAAAGAAAGAAGCAGCAAGGACTGCTGCCTTTTTCGGCTGTAGTGTGGACTGATGCCAGATACACTAATTGCCATATGACATAACCAGGGGTGATGCTGCCCCACTGGTCCCAGACACCGAAGGCTGGAGACTGCACCTAAAAATAAGGAGCTCTGCAAAACCTAGTTCACTGTGGGATTTTTTTTTTGGTTTTGTTTGTTTGGTTGGCTTTTTTTAAAGTATTACACATGCAGATTGCTTCAGTGATCCACACTTTTAGTTGATAGTTCTTAAAACAACTGCAAGTTAAATGAAATTGAAAACAATCCAAGATCTTCAGAAGCAAGCTTTTTTGTTCCCCCTTTTAGAAGATGCTCAAATAAGAAATTATATAATTTGGCTGTCATTTTAGCAGTCTGTGTCTTCTGCTTGCATTCAATATGAACACATACGCTGTATTTCCATCATTGCATCTGCTGCAGGGTATTTGTGGGGAGTACGCCAAGGGGGCAGACACAGCAAGCAGAGGTTGGTACCTCAGCAGCCAGATGGAACGCCATGTGGGGTATTTTTCAGCATCACGGGGCAGGGGGGAAAGGAAGCAGGGCAAGATGGGGGTGGGGTGGCAGGCAGGCCACCTTCCTGCTTCTGTTCACTACCCCATGTTTCAGCCATACTGATGCTTCCCAGCCCCTCTCAGCACACCATTCAGCACTGCTCCCACATTCAGCAGGCTCGGAGAGAGAACAGCTGCATCAGCCCTTTTTCGGGATCTTGTCTCCGCTGCAAAAGTTTTAAGCAAAAAGAGCCACTGCAGAGCACAACGCTGTGGGCAAAGGCTGCAAGTCCTCCCGAAGCAAAGTCCAAAGGCTCTCACGACATGAAAGGAAAAGAACAAGCTACTGAAAAAAAAACAAAAAAACCCCACACCAACCCCAAGGCAAACTGGAAAAACTGACATGTATTCAGGGCTACTACCTCTCCTTCACTGAGCATCCATCAGAGAGTGTAAGGTGCAGCCCATCTTAATGAGTAACTGGCAGGGAATGTTTAGTTAACTGAGAGAAAGGGGGTTAAAAAAAACAAACAAAAAACCACACACAACAGCTTTGCTAAAGAGAGCAGTACTTATGAGACTATAGTATAACAGGTTTTCTATATGGAGATAAAGCGGCTAGACAAGATACCGTAGCTGGAGCAGTGCCCAGCCGCCTCCGTTCAAGCTCACCCTACTCGGAGACACGGCAGCACAGCCCGAAAGCTCGCCAGCTCTGTGCCCGACCCACACGTCCCCTTGTCCCCAGCGGGACCACCCCGGGAGGGTCCACGGCTGGTCCCAGGGCAAGGCTAGATGGACTGAAACTTCATATGCTGTCAGTGAAACCGTGGTATCAGCCAGCTGACTCCAACTTAAGGTACACGTGGAAGTGGGAAGAAAAAGTGAGTATCTAGCTACAGCCTAAGCTACAGGATTTCTATATGCACCGTGATACTGAGTTGTTCCGTGCCACCGTATGTGCTGTGGTAAAAAAGAATTAGACACAGAAGGTAGATGGAGATGACCTGAGGACATAAAGAGTTTGTGAACGCTGCTAGATGCCGGTATATTTTAACAACTGTCAAGTTTATTTGGGGAAAAAAAAAAAAAAACCAAAAAGTCGCACAATAGCCGATAGCTTGTTTTAAAATAATGCCCCCATTCTTTCTTCTGGAGTTTAAAGAAAAAAAAAAGATTTCTTTTATGAAATGACTTATTATTTCAGGCCAAATTAAAAAAGAAAAGCGTAGAAAATTTTGCTGTTTCCACAATACCAGCAGATGGCATTTCCTGAATCAAACTCTTCTGGGAGCCTGCAGCTGCACAGCAAAATTTATGTCCTTGTCAGCATCAGGGATCTACTGCTGAGGCTCCCAGGATCTGCGGCTCCGGGCAGCCGGGACAGAGACTTCCTCGGAGCCGCAGGTCCTGTGAGACCTTCCCACGCAGCTCCCTCCTTCCATCCCAGCTGTAATCCCATGACACCAGACAAACCCCGGCCCAAGCAGCGCCCAGAGCCAAGGGGCTTGGTGGCTCTCCACCTCCTGGACCCTCCTTAGGACCACCACGTATTGCTTACCCTGAATGTGGTTGTTAGCTTGGATTTTCCAAAACCATTAACCTTCCGCTCACATCACCTTTACATTTATCTGAAGATGTTAGATTGTGTTTTTACATATGTAGAAGCTAACACCCAAAATTACTTTCCCAGATATGCCCAAGCATTCAATTTTTTTTAAAAAAAAAAAAACAACAAAATAAAACTATGCTGCTTGAGTTTGGGAGGCTGACAGGAGAACGGGACTCCCCAAAATCTCCTTGTGCCAGGAAGGCGATTAGAGCAATTAAGAGAATTTGCCAAACTGACCATAGATGACGATAAAAGTTTCACTGTAATGAATTACCGCTGAGATTTCTTCCAGGAACTCAGCACAGAAAGAACAAGTTTAAAGTTGCTAGAACTCCCTAATCCTCCTTATCTGACGTTTCTTCCTAGAAAAGCACGTTTTAGTCAAATCTATTTCAATCCTGAGCATATTTCCTGAATGCCTAAGCAGAACTAAAACAGTATCATCACAAAAACACCTTTCAGTCTTGCTAGCAGGAGTCAGCCTGTGCAGGACTTCAGGGGAAATTTTTCCCACATTTAAAGAAATTTCTGCCCCTGGAGAGAGGAAGAAATTTGGCTTGCTTTGTTATGTTATGCATTCAATTCTGAACAATTCAGTATCGAAAGCCCTTTCATAAGCTTGAAAAAGAATATGAAACATTTATTTTCATTTCAGTGAGAAATTAACAAGATTTAGTAATTAACTAAATAGCAGGCTAGCTTTTCTCCTCCAGACTTTGTGTAAGTGTTACCAGTCCACACATACAAAAATGGATGCACAGTGGTTCTTGGGGGGGCGCAGAGAACAAAGCACGTTTGATAAAATAATTAGCAGCAGTAAAAGACATTCCAGGACATTCAAATAAGCCAGCAAAGATGAAAGCCAGGGTCAGCTTCCCAAAACTGATTAAGAAGGACAATGAACATGATGGCACACTTGCAATTACCAAGCCCATGTTTTCCCACTTATCCGTCCGCTTTAATTGGATTAATAACTGGGTTTTTTAAAAAATTAATAGTCTGAGTATCATGGCTTCTCCTCCCTGCATTTACATCACTGGCAGTCTTCAGGAGGCGAAGTAACCGAAGACCCCAGAAGAAACCTCAGTGCAAGAGGTTTTAAGCACAGAGAGGATGCAAAGAAGGAAGCTACCTCCTCCTCTGTAAGCCCACTTGGGCAACCAAGCGCCC